ATTAAATGAAATAATGCATTAAGACTCTTAGCACAATGTTCAGCTTATTGTAATCACTCAGTGGAAGTTGGCGGCTGCTATTACTATTGTCTGCCATGTAATTGGGTGTTATGCCATGTAAGTAGAGGGATGAGAAAGCAGCTACATATAAAATTACAGTTTTGCCAATGATGGCTTAGTACTGAATTCAAACAGTATTTAACCATGTTTTAAAGCACACAATTTGGGGGAAATGTTGGTTCTTTAAAAAGTCAATCCCTAGAGGGCCATAAAAGCTATTTTAATCACTACAACTAATTACAAGGAAGTATAAATCAATAAACTTTGCTAAATGGTCTAAAATATAATAAAGAAAACCATCGTTAACAATCATCCAGGAAGCCACTGTCCTTAATAGTGAGATGATGTAAAAGTTGGATGTGAAGAATGAATTTTATTATTTGAAAACTCCAGATGTTAACAAGGCTCTCAGGGAAGTTCTTAATTCAACACAGAGTCATAGCTTTTCAGAATGATTATTTACTTTAGGTAACTTGAATGTATTTCCCCTGAATTATATGTATACTTGTGTTGGTATGGGCACAAGTGGTCTTCAACAGAGAGGTATTTTAGCTTTCAGTGTTTTTTAGCACCTCTCTCAGGTGGAAACCAGCCCTCCTCCCCTCCCTCCTCTTAAAGCTGCAACATTGCTTTGGAACCCAAATCAAGACTGGAGTCATGCCGTATTTAAAAAGCCTTTGCTCTTTTCTCTCAGTCCTGTGTGGTGGTTACTGTCTCAAATCTGGGAGTCCCAGGGCTATCACCTGAATTTGCAAGCTTACCTGCTGCCCTTCCAATTAGGAGAGCCAATGTCCACAAGGGTTCCTGAGCCAAAGAGCTCTCTGCCCATCATGTCCCCATGTATAGGCCTGGGCTTGCTTCCTGCCACCCTATTTATCCCCAATGGTGTGTTTTCCCACGTATAGAACCTGCTTCTGAATGCCATGTAAGCACAGGGCCTTGTTATCATGAACCGTGATGACTGACAACCTCCTGCTATTGCATCTGCCTGTGTTGCTGAGATCTATTCCCTGAGTCCTGTCTACACAGTTTTGCTTGTATCACACCAGAATCTATGAGGCCTTTTGGACAGTATACCTTTCCAACCCAACTCCTGTCCTACCCTGGGAAGCAGACCAAGTCCAGATCTACCCCTTTCTCTATTTTCACCTGCTTACACTGCAATGGGAGATATCAGAGATGTTAAAGACTGGCTCGATGTGATGCTGAGGCCAAGAAACAGACAAGAAAATCTTGCCATGGCAGTAAGAAGAACAGGATTTGGGGTTGACTCTGTAAACAACTAGCTTTCATGGCCAATGACCTCCCTTAGCTAAATCAAAGGGACAATGAAATCATAAAATGAAATAAACAGCATAAATATGCATTGGGAAGTTGAGACACAAATAAAAAATTGTGCTATTGCTGGCTGATCCAAGCCCTGAGATAGAGCAAAGGGTTTTGTATTCAGAGTTAAGAGAAATCTAAAATAGCAGTGGTTAAATAAGATAGAACCTTATTTCCTTCCAATATAAAAGAAATTTGGAAATGGGCAGTCCAGAGTTGGAATGGTGGCTCAGCAGTTGTCAGGGTCTGGACCTGACAATAGTAATCTATCACTAATAGTAATCTATTACTATTATCTTTCTGGACCACACTAGCATATGGCTTCCATCTGCGTAATCACCTCACAGCCCAAGATGCCTACTGGGCCTCCTTCGATAATACAGACATCAGAAAAGAGGGAAAAGGAAGGGAAAAAGGAAATACTTCTTTTTTTTTTTTTTTTTTTTTTTCATGGTGAACCTTTGGGAAATGGGAAATACTTCTTAACTAAGAAATACTTCTTAACTTCAAGGTCTTTTGAAGAGACCTTCCCAAAACTTCCACTTTTCTACCTGCCTCCTATTGGCCAGAAAATTGTCACATGGCCGTATCTAACTGCCAATAAACCTAGAAAAGGCAGTCTTTTATTTGGGTGTATTGCCACCTGAGAATGGATAATATTGGATGGCAACTATTTAATAGCAATGTGCCACATGCGGCCACTTGAAACCAGGTGAAATGCCAACATTCTTTGAGAGAGAGTTTCAAGTGGTAACAGTGAAATGATCCGCTTTTGTGATTGGCTCAAATAAAATAAATGGGATCCAATCACTTGTTTAACAAAAATGTTTTGTGTAGCTGCTACATGCCAGGGACTGTGCTAAGCACTAGGGAGACGAGAGTGAGCCAAACATCCCCTGCCCTCATGAAGTTTACAGTACACACCTCTCCCACAAAAAAGTGTATAATTACAGATATGGTTTGGGTTGTCTAAAGGGCGCCTTGTAAGATGGTCAGACTTTGTGCACTCAACTGTGTAGAGAGAGACAGTGGAGCTCTCTTCATGGGGCTTGGAGTCTGCTGTAAGCACCCCATTAAATGACAGTGGTTACACATCCTTACCAAGCCACCAGTGTTCCTCTTTGTAAACCTTTGTCACTGCTGACCAAGGCTGTCTTAAACTCTCGCTCTTCAATGAAAGAGCTCCTGTCGGTTTGATCTTATCCCCTGTAGCCAGGAGAGAGTTCCTCCTTCATTATCCACAGAGCTGAGGCCACACTCACTGCTCAATCTAAGGAAATTGGGATGTGATGTCCCTCTCTCCTTGCCTGTGGCAAAAAGCCAAGCAATTACTCAGGCATTCTGAGGATCGAAAGCATTAGTCTGAAATGTCTGGTCTGCCCCAACAGGAAATACTTTATTGGTTGAGCTTGGATTTTCGCTTTGATTTGCTATAGCCCTTTCTGGTCTTATAATTTAGTTTGGAATTAAAATAGAGAATTTTATTTGCACTACCTGTCTTCTTCATTAGCTGGTATTTGGATTGACCTTGGAATTTTGACATGATAAAACAGTCAAAGAAAAGAGCCTGGCATTTTTCTGCTGTCATTTTGTGGAGCCAAGAATTGTTACGTGTCCTTCTGAAGAGTAGCTTTATTTTTAGCCCTGTGCAGCACTTTAGATGGATGTCCTGTCTGTTTCCACAAGGCAGCTCAGATAACCCAATCATACCCACTTTTAGGAAGAAATTCTTTTTGTTCTAACTTAAAAGCATCAGATATGATGAGAACAGGAAAGAGGTGTTCACTATTCTTAATGAGAATATATATGGGGTAGATGACATGTTTCCATATCATATGTTAGATTTCCTTGACGCTTTTGTCTGAAGCTTTTGGTTTTTGGCATGTAACTTTATGGTTGCTTGGAGGTTTGTTAGGCTCCAGTGCTTGCAAGGAATGGAGACTCAGTCTGATAAAATATCTTAAGAAATGAGGAGACTCTAAGGCCATGAGAATAAGGTCAACAGGAGTCCTTTAGCACTCAGAGAGATATACAGTTGGGCTTCTTTGGACCCTGGACTTTAGGTGGAGAATGGGGAGCACCAATGTAGTGTTGGCATGTTCAGTAGCAGAGGTCAAAGGTTTTCCACACTGAACTTGGTCATTAACTCCATTCAGAGCTGTGACACAGGTAGTAACTTCAGGGTTCTGTAGACATACTTGTCAAGTTAACTGGTTCTAATTTCGCTTTTGCTACAAAATAATTTGCTGATATTTGAGCACTGTTAACTCTGAGATATTTAATGTTGCAATTGGAAAGAAAAGAATGATTTTCAGGCTGATTTACACTGCCAGTCCACGCAGCTGTAGGACTAAGACTTCAACTTCCTTTGCAAATATGCTAGTTACCTCTTTCTCTGAACTCCTGGGCTAGGCTGCTGCTCTTGCTCTGAGAACCCATCTGATCCCAGAGTTTGCATTGAGTTCTACAGAAAATGACTTCTGCTGTCCCCTGGTCATGAAGCTAGGTTTGTGACCTCCTAGATAATTTTCTGTCATCTCTGATATCATTGGCTTAAAGTGCAAATCGAAGGATGCTGGTCTTCCATCCTTATGAGTATTCGATGCTTACATGGGAGAAAATGGTTCTCCAACTTGACTGCTCAGATTACCCTCCTAAGCACGGCTGCCAGTTTTGGAAACTTGTGCCGTGTCCAATGGGCATACGTGAGTCCCATGCCCAGATCCAGGCCTTTCTTGGAAGAACAGCTCAAAGAGAACATCCTTTGTCACAGCACCTTCATATTATAATAGTTTCCACTCAGTGGTCGCTGGGAACCTGTTCTCAGACCCTCCAGGAATGGGTCTATATCCCCTCACTAACAAGCCTTCTCACCCCTCATTGGCTAGGAAGAAAATGACAAATGGGTATCCCTTGGTTTCTTAATGTGGCAGCCACGATAAGAACATTTATCTCAAGAGTAAATTGTGAAGCCTTTTTGGACAGTTCATGATAATAAAGCTGGGGAGGGTATGGAATATCATGGTGATGCATTTTCAAACTCTTTTGCAATATGTCGAGAGATATCAATGGTAAGATGCTCCTTCAGTCGGGACGGGCTTTGGCAACCTCATGGTGGATTTCTGTGCAGCCTGGCATTACCTTAGAACTCTTGACCGCAAAGATGCCACCATTTTGGTCTTTCCATCTCTCTCATCTGCAAGGTACAATTTGGGGCATAAAGTGATCTCATGGGCTTGGATTTCACACCACAGTAAGGAGGAAGGCACAATATCAACTCTATCACGAACATTGTTGGAGGACCTAGCAGGAATTTAGAACATTTCTTTACCTGTACAGAGATCCTAACAGGATGTGGGGGGTCTCCAGATGCTGCCAATGGCCCAAGGCTAGTCTAGCCTTTAATAATCATCTTTGAAGGAATTCTGTTTTCAAAAATAATTTATTCAAATATTTTTATGCCAAAATAATTCTAAAAAGTATTAGTTTCTCCTAGTCACCCCCAAGCAAATGTGCATTTAACTACATGAACACAGCTATTACTTCATAGTTTTTTTTATTATAGACTTTTTTTTTATCCACATGAATGTTAAAGAAACTACAACAGAGTTAAATACCATTTTTGATAACATGATTATATTCTTAATTACACTCAATATTAAACTGTAAAATATTTCCAGAGGAATACAATCTTCATTCATACAGCAGGCAAAGTACCAGAGAGGAAGGGGCCACGTGGAAGTCTGTTCAGTTTGCTATGAAAAGCAGGTCTGTTCGGCTGGTGCCTTCCCATCTGTCGAAATGCGATCCCCACACCTAGGACAGGTCTTGCGTTTTCTTTCCACCAAGAATCACTTCTTCAAAAGCAAAAGACAGTCTTGTAGAGTTGCCCTCTCCATGTGTGCAGCACTGAGACCCCTTGGGACCTTCCATGGGTTTCCCACCCTGGTTGGCTAACAGCACTTCCCACACTCCGATTCAGTCGTCCTTTAAAAACACAAAGACTCAAACTTTGGTTCCACCAAAAGATGCGACAAGCATTGACGGCTCTGGTTGGCTCCCCCCTCCCCCCACTAATGGATGGCTGCTACAGTCTATTTTACATGGTTGTCCATGCTGTTTTGAGGTCACTTGTCCTTAGGTTCTCCCGAACCTGATTCCCAAGCCCTTTCAATTCGCAGTCTTTATGCAGGTCAGAAGTGCTCAGTGGCAGGCTGTATCTTACAAGAGAACAAGAGTAAGTAGTTCTGTGCACCTGGGATAAGATAAAAGCACAGAAGGACAAGCTGAGCATCATACCATCAGATAATTTAAAAACATTTAAAGTCACATTTAGTATACCATTAAGAGAAGAGATTTTTTTGGACAGTTGAATAAAATGTCTTAAAAAATGACTATGAAAGCATCTTCCTTTATACATATGTTTGTCTGCTATTTTAGATTATGCATCTCTTATGACATTGAGCCAAACTAGAGTGGGCTGGTTTGCTGTGCCTTCTTTACAGTAAAGCTATTTAGCCAGGTTCTAGAAGCCCAGGTTTGTTGTTGGGCGAAAGAACATGCAGGCAACCTGCAGTGAAAGGGGAAGACAGCATTTCATGCTCTGGTGGCTGGGCGGATGGTCCAAGTTACATTTTAATATGTTTCTTGTCTTGGGGTGTCAGGGCAACTGTGGAAGTACAGGGGAGGTTTTGTGATTCAAAATCAATGAAACCACCAGATTGGGTATTAACTGCATATTTATAACTGATAATAGAAGATGTGAATTAGGCCATGATTTCAGGTTACAAAACAGAGGAGAGCAGACAAAATACGAGCTGAAGACCTGCCACTTTTTAACAGCGAGACCACAGACCACTGACTCATCTCTCTCTGCACTTCAGCTTTCTCAGCCGCAAGGTGGTGGATGCAGCAATACTTATCTGAAGTTCTCTGAGTTGTTCTGAAGATTAAGAGAATTGACATGAAGTGCTTATTAATACAACAGTGGGGGCACATGGCTATTCTCAGTGGAGATTCTTTTTTTGTGTGTGTGTGTGTGTTTTCCTTTTATTGTTGCAGGAATTAAAAATGTTAAATAAACTATGAGAAGACCTAAAAATCACATATGGAAAGGGAGTGAAGGGGAAGTCATTCTACAATTTGACTTATTAGTAAATTTATTTATTTTTTTTTATTTTGGCATATTATGGGGGTAGCAGTGGAGATTCTTGAAAGAACCCCTATGTCTGACTCAAGATGAGAGAAATGGATATACTATTCCCCCTCTTTATCTCTGACCTGTATGAAAAGAAGACACACAGAGTGTTCAATTACAATCCCTCAACATCCTTTTAAGACTTTTTTCTTCTTATTACTTTTATAGCAATTATTCCAGAAGTGATATACAAATTATGAGAGTTTACCAAAGAGGGAGAGATATTGTTAACAAAGGAAAAAAATCATATTTTCAGACTCTCAGAAGGATGCAAAGTAGCAGTTAGTGATGAAGAAAATGTAGACATACGGCCAAAGAAGGTGGGTCCTGTCCTTGGGTGTTACATGTGGTCTTGAGCCGGCTTTAATAAAAGCAGCCCCTTTGCAGGAAAGGAGAGAGAATATGGCAGAAGACTGGCATGCAAAAGTGACAGACAAAATTTTAGAGCTGGTAGAGACTTTGATTGGGCTCAGTCGCCCACATTTTATAGGTAAGAGTGACTCAAAGAGATTAAATGATGTTTCTCAAGATAACATTGGGAGGTAGTGTCAGTTTTAGTCTCTGGAACATCAGCCTAAGGATCCAAGGAATGCAAGGAAGTGGCTTTAGGGTCAAATAGCCCTGGATTGAAACCTGGCTCTGTCACTTGATGGCTAAGTGACCTCCTTTAGCCCCAGTGTTCTCAAGTATGCAATGGGGGATAACACTGGGATCCGCCTTACAGAGTTGCAAGGATAATGCAGCAAAGAATTTAGTCCACCATCTGGCATAGTTAGTGTTCAATAAGTGATAGTTATTATCCTTCCCAGCTTGGTCGATGGGTTTCTGTATGACTATGCAAGAGCCATTTCCCATGATTCACTTCCTACCTATGTAAAACAATTGAATTCTTCTCTGTGAAAGACATGGGTGTTTCAACCAGTTAACACGAATGATCTTTGCAAAATGTTTCAAGGTGCTTGAAAGAAAATGAATGTAAAGTAATAATTAAATTGGTGTTAACATCATACCATTTTTATTTGGGGTACAGATTTCACACAGATTACACTGGGGTGTCTGTGCAGGAACTGGGTCACAGAAATAACTAGAGGTAAGGAGGGCCATCAGGAATAATTCCAGTGTTAAAAATGGGCCAAGATGAAAGGATAACACACACAACATTTTGAAATGTATTTCAAATCTTTTCCATTGTACTCGCAAGCTCATGATGAAGCAAATTCACAGAGCAGTACAATGTCTAACCTAACAGAGCTTGTTAGGAGGGAGTTTGAAGATAAATAAAATACACTTTAAACAGCTGGTAGCTAAACACATAGATCTCATTGCCCCAAAGGGGACTATTCCTCCACTGAAGAAAGGTTTAGATAAACCCACAGGTCATGGATCTTTAAGGCGTTATCAAGGGAAAGTTAAGAGTATTCAGTGTATATGCCTAAATTTTGAGGTTAATATTATTTAGAACAACAATCTGGCTCTTCTAATGGAAGTCAGTATCTTGGCCTGGGTGAACCTTTATTTTGATTCAAGATGGCATTTCTTATGTCCTAATGTAGAGTAAAAAAGATTTGTAGAGCAGTGATATGTGGCAGTCTTAGCTCGGCTTATTAAGTGGATTGCCTGTGGTTTTGAAAAGCTTCCTCCTCTTAATAGTCGTATTGGAATCCACTGGGTGGCACGAACACAGCATAGTACCTTAAGGGTCATTCTTGCATAAGACATTAATGCATCAATCCCTAATTTGGAAACCTGTGGTCACCCTGCAAGACAGAATTTGTCTCTCTCCCTTGGTGTAATGATTTTTATATTGTAATCTCTCTTGGGGTAACTCCTTACAGGACTGGCATGTTGAGAATCAGAGACTGCCTCTAACAATATGGTCGTGATTCTCTGCTTGGCTGATTTAGCTAAGCATTTAAGTAACCACTAATCTTCTGAAAGCACCAGGGTCTACTTAGAGAAATCCCTGTTGTCTGCAAGGATAGAAACAAAATCAGCATGGAGGAAGCATTAGTTACTAAACAAAAATCAATCTTTTTTTTTTCCACCTAGCTGTACACTATATCACTTTTGGAGGAGTGGGTTCTGGGCAGTGAGTCTTCATTTTGTAGGTGTAAGATGGGCTCATGTCTGACAAGCAGGGAAGATGGGTTGGGTAAGGAAAAGGGGTAAAAAGAGAGTTCATTGAAGTTCTTAAGTATAAATCAAACCACATTCTAATGGATGAATCTCACAAACACTCAGCAAAACAAGCCGGACGTAAGAGAACGTTCTATACAATGTCACTTACATAAAGCTCAAAACCAGGCAAAATTAACCTTTTGGGGGCTTGGAGGTGGGAGAAACTGGACAAGGTCATGAGGCTGTTATCAGGTGCTGCAAACCTAAGTGAGCTCACCCTGTGAAAATTCACAGTTTTGATTTGTAAACTTCATGGTTTGTATGACTTTATGATTTATAGACATTGCTGACTTTGTGTTGTATTTCAGTAAACAGGTTATTTTAAAAACACATCCTAATATTTTTCTCTTTGATTTGAAAGAGAACTAGTTTGACATTTTCATATTACACATATGGAGATTATCAGAATTAATTTGGAATTAATTCCTGCCTTGATTACCTTGATATCCTGAGTTAAGATTTACTGAATCTGAATATTGTAACATTTTCATTTCACACTGCTGGTGCAAATCCAGTCTACTATAATGATAAAGAAATCGCCCAAAGTCAACTTCAGACTTAATAATAATACTTTAATATATAGAACAGAGCCAAACTCACAGGCGAATTTGTGTATAACCTCATGGGGATAGGAACAGTATGACTTACTATCTGAGCATTCCTGTTGCAGAATCATCTGCTCTCTGAGAACAAGAAGTCCATTCATTAGCAAAAGGCAGGTACTGGATCTGAAGATGGGTGTCCTATAATCTCTTCTTAGTTTTGCAATGTCGACACAATATGTCACATCTTTTATCTCTATGCCTCAGTTCCCCATGTGTAAAATTAAGGGAAAGCATATGAATGAGAGGCTGTTTGGGGAAGAGTTTTGAGTGCCTGATGAAACTTGACATAATTATCATTATTTGAGACAAATACTGAAGATCATCACTAATAAAGGTGATGGCAAGAAATAGGATTGTCATTTGCACATGGTGGAGGAGACTTGTGATACATAGAAGAGAGGCATGAAGGGGAAAAAAAAGAACCATGAGCATGCATGGTAGGGAATGTTTGGCAATAAATTCTATTAAGTTGAAAAGTATTCCAAAGGGCAGGAGTGGGAAGAATCATTCTGATGGGAGTGGATCAAAGTGATACATGGCCACAGTCCTAGCTAGCCGCCAGGAGCACTAACAAATGCTACTTCTGGAATCTGAGTTTTTTTCCTGATTCAGCAATTCCAATTGTTAGGTCCAATTGTTAGGTCACCATATTGTTACAGAAACAACAATGTCCTAGATTTTGCATTCCCATAGTTGTAATAATTACATATGCCTTCTTCCATAGAATCAAAAAGTTGCTTTTGAAATGTTTAGGTACATTGTGAATGTAGACATTGGATTTTCACATTCTGCTTTTCCTTAAGAATATAGAAAAATTGTTTTTAAATGGTTGCCAGGGCCGTGACCTTGAACTTGGTTTTAGCTGTAGAGAAACTATTGCTGGTTTAGGGAAAGAATGAATTACTATTCCTAGAGCAGAAGGTCTCTCAAAGGTCTGTATTGCCTTCAATTGTTCATATCATGATCTGTAGTAATTCACTGAAAGTCAGATTTGGGGAAGAGTTTTTGGAAGCAAAGGAGAGACAGAGAAAATGAGACACCTTAAGGATGACCTTATGCTGATACTTCAGATTCCTTTAGAGAGGCAGTAAGTAATCAGGGTGTCAGATAGAACCATAAAGAACATAAGATACTAAAGCAGAATGAAGATCACTTCTGCATACGGAATAGAGAATTTCCTTCGTTTTAGGAATTTTTCCATGGCATTTATAAGAAGCACTTGGACATTCATTTTGGAAGTCTCATCCCCCTACATAAGGAAGTTCATTGGTATATTAACTCAAATGCAGGATGCAATTTGACTGATCCCTTGGGCTATTTCAAACACATCAGAAAGTGATACATCCAAGCAGTAACAATACAGAGAGTTAAGAAAATCTCTTTCCTCCGGCGATCTCACCTTTTAGCTTTTGCTGAGATGGGCGCCAAGCTTTTCTTTCCTGATCAAGCTTGCTGCATAGGGGATCTGTAAGGGAAAAACAAGCAAAAGCATCCAGGTAAGCTAAATCTGGAGACAGATGTGTAATGGAGACCCTTCATCATGCCTAACAATTTGAATGCCAATAGATCCTCCCTGAGGAGAAGAGGTCTCCATCTGCTCAGCAGTGTGGGAATTCTGGGGTATAGCACTCTTAAGGCATGTTAAAAAGTACATTGAGGACAGAACAGGTGATCACACTGGATTGCTGCTATAACTAGGCCCTGACATTAGTATGTGATAGTTCATCTTAAAAGGGTTTTTAAAACTTACATTTAATATTATGGTATTATTATTATTTTTTATTTAGGTATGAAAACTGAGTTATGATATTATAATGTATGTCACAGCTCACAAAACAAGAATGTGATTACAAACTAGATCAATGTAATCTTTCAGTGTATTAGAGTGGCCTCTTTTTAAAATAAGCTACCCTTATAAATCACAAATAAGACTAAGTAAACACAAACTATGATGCTGGGTAAATTCCCAGTAACTAATAAGCACCCAACATAACTGCACTGAATGGAAAATAAGACATTGAGAATGCTACCCAGATAAATTTGAAAGGTGCGTTTCAACACCAGGGTTTTGAATAAAAGCCTGTTACATTTGGTGTGCTGCTTTTCATTAGAAAGCTGAAATGGCTGAAATTGGGCTACCTGTATTATTTAGCTATGCCTCTCCTCTAGCCCCAGCTAAGGTACCCAATCGTCAGGTTGCCTACCTTGCCTTCAACAATACAAGACTAACCTCAGGACTCTAAAGATCTGGCTCTGTTTTACACTTAAAGAAATAAATATTCATTCTTCTAGAATGTAATTAATATGAAATATGGCTGTTGAGTAAAAGCAATGAGGAAAACAAAATTACTCTCATTCAATTACCAATGTTTTTGAATACTGTTATATACATTCCCAGCATGTTGTATGTTTTGCTCTCATTTTCCATCGGTCCATACACGCAAATCTTTGTTAATGGGAAGGAGCTATGAATCCACAGTAATGCAAGTGACTAAGACAAGCTGGACTATTTTACCATAATAACTAGTGAGTTGAATTAAACAGTCTTTTTTTTTTTTTTTGAGACAGAGTCTCACTTTGCTGCCCAGGCTAGAGTGAGTGCCGTGGCATCAGCCTAGCTCACAGCAACCTCAATCTCCTGGGCTCAAGCGATCCTACTGTCTCAGCCTCCAGAGTAGCTGGGACTACAGGCATGTGCTACCATGCTCGACTAATTTTTTGTATATATATTTTTAGTTGGTCAATTAATTTCTTTCTATTTTTAGTAGAGACGGGGTCTCGCTCAGGCTGGTTTCGAACTCCTGACCTCGAGCAATCCACCCGCCTCAGCCTCCCAGAGTGCTAGGATTACAGGCGTGAGCCACCACACCCGATCTAAACAGTCTTTTTTAATGGAAAAAAGGGAGAAGATTAAAATAACCGTCTCACTATTTTGATACACAACCACAACATAAACATATCTGATATGTGCATATCTGATAAGGGCATTGATAACAGTAATGAAATGAATGATTCATTTGCAAAATAAAAAGTTCAGTGAACTAATCTCATATTTTAGGATACGGGCTGAGGTCAGATAGATAACGATGACAAGGACAGTTACATAGGGACCTACTCTAATTACCTCTTCTTTTCACTCTTGGTTATGCTACACCTGCTATTAACAGAGACACCCTTGAATCTTGGTTTTCCATTATGGTGCATGCTGCAATGTGCCAAAGTGCACCAGCCACCTCTATCTTTAGATGCATGATATAAAAGAGCCTCGAATGGAATCCTATCATTTAGGATAACAGAAAATGATGTAAACTTTTGTGCACAAGGAGTTACCAATAAAATGTATTTGTAACACTCTCACATTTAGAAAGAGTTCTCAACATCAAGATTAGTTTCCACAAAGGATTAGTAACTGGCTGTTTTGTGCTAGGCACTATGAGAGATAAGTTATTATCACCACGGGCCATCTCATCGAAGCAAGTAAACTACTCATCCTAACCCAAAGAAAGCTACCTGAATGAGGGAATTTCAGAGCCAAGTCAAGAAAATGTCTTTTTCTTTCTTTTTTCAGAAAAAACAATATGGCATTTCATTAACATAGGAAGCTGAGAAGGAAAAGAAAAAAAGGCCTCAAGAAAAAAAAAAAAAAGACATTTCCAAATAAGCACAAGAGATTCCCAATGCTTCAAACTGGAACCTAAAACTGGTGCGAAGAATTATCCTCACTCAAATGTTGGCTTTTATATTTATTTCATTAAAATGATATGAAGTAAAAGCCAAATAACAAGAGACAAAAAAAAAACAAAATTTATGAGCTAAGAATTATGTATTTTAAGTCCTAAGTCCTAAATCATGTATGATAAATCAAGATTATATTAACATGTGGCCCAGTTGTTCATGGAAACTACATTATTTCATTGACTGCAAGATTCACTTTCCCCCCTCAATTTTAACATTTTTGAAATCAGGTTTATTATAATTGGTAGTATCTCAGAATTTCAATTGGGATCTTTTTTCTTTACGATTCATAAAGTAAGGGTGCCTCTTACAATTCATATGTTTCAATTCTATAAAAATGCAATATTGGACTTACAGACACCTCAGCAAACACTCCCCAACTTGGAATCTCAGGATTTTAGAGGCTCCACTTAAGCTAGGTATTCCATGAACCTCTCCTACAATAGGAAAAGCTTTCTTTTCATTTTGACCAACTTGGAAATCATCAAGATTAGCATGGACGAAAAGAATATTGAGGCATTATGTAACATCGAAATTATCTAGTTGGCTCTAGTAGATCAGACGTACTGGGATCTTACCAAAAAACCCCATAACTTCCTAGTTTGTGCTGAGAGAGTTAGTTGCACACACATTGGTGAGTCATCACATCAAAAGGAGAGAAAGATGAGAAGAAGAAAGCTATACAACTGAGGAACAACTGATCGCACTACCAACATGCACATCAGTAGATCAATAATTGGAAAAAGATGCACAGTAGTCGAAGTCTGTCTACTGCTAGAGAATCTTAATCAGCTTCCATGGAAGTTCAGACTTGGATCTAGTCTCCTGATGCCACAGAACCAAAATCCTTTTAGTCACAGAACCAAAATCCTCTAGTGGCCCAAAGATCTTTTTCTAAAAACATTGTGCAAAACCGTAACTATTCTATTAATAACTACTTTTTAAAAAAAGACGTAAATCATATTCTTAAAAACTCCCTTGGTTTAGACAGTAGGAATCTGGGCAAGTTCCCATCTTAATGAATACTGGAGAACCTCCAAGAAAAGACCATCTCACTGAAGAGCCATGTCCTTGCCAAAGAGCAACAATAAAGACCTCTCATTCCTTTCCCTGCGAAGATGCATCGTGCTCCCACCATCAGCAAGTTGTAAACCGTTGTTTTACAAGTCCACGGTGAACGAAACATTAGTACTTAATCTATTGATTGAACATTATTTTAATTGAGGCTTTTAATGAAGAACTTAGACCGGTTCCCCCTAGCTGCGTGTGACTGCAGCATTCCGTCTAAACAGCAGAGGGCGCTTCAAGACTAGCACATTTTCTCAATCACTGTGCCTCGTGGCAGCGATTTGGCAAGTTCCAAGGACGGGAACCTGCGTGTAGCCATTTATCATGAGCTCTGTGTTGCAGCTTCATGAAGCCCTTCAACAACTCTGACTAAAAAAAGAAAGCAGTAGCTTATACACAAATGCACTTGCTTAAAAAAGTATTGTCAAATTAGCCACACACACACAAAAAGGTTATCAAGGCATCATAATAGTTTCAGCTCATGTTGCAAATTATATTCCAGCCCTTGGAAAAACTTAAATCAAAAGGTTATTTACTGAGCAAAATATCTTCAGCTTCTTAGTCCTAAGGGACGATAAATTTTGTTTGAAAATTTGAACAAAATTCTCCTAGGATCACAATTCATTCGTGAACAAGAAATCCTTTGCCCTTTATTCTACTACACACTTATATTTTCATGAACTTGCCAAATTTTAAACTTTTGCATTTGGTCCACAGTTGCACCAAATTTCTTTGTTTTGCATAAATAAATCTGGTTAGGTAATGAAAATGCTTTAAGCATTTGAAAACCCAGTGGAGGGCTGGGCACCTTAACACAAACAGTGTTAGGTACAATAAAACTCAAATTTTAAGCTATTTTTTAAAAAAAGGTTAGCTGTGGCCATGTATAAATGTTAAATAAACTAATTCTTCACATGCTTTAAATCTCACATTGAGATAAATGCACTTTCATTTATAAAGGCACAAAGAGAGTCAATAATTTGACTCTATAGTCATCACAACTTTGCATTTAACAAATGGGGAAAAAAAGCAATGGTGCAGAAATTATAGTCAGCAGAGAATCTAAAAATGGAGGAGCCAAAAAAATTCATAAGTTTTCTTTCTGCAGCAATGATACCCAAGATACTTTTGATATAAGTCTTTTGAATAAGAACACTTTTTAACAACATAGGATAAATGCATTGTGGGTCTATGGGAATCATTACAAAATATGATGGCTTTAATATATTTGAATCCTTCATGATTGCAAGATAGAGTGGGTTTTTATTTCATCTAAAGACAAAAAATGCCTATTCTGTAATATATGCTCTATAAACTTTAAATATAAAATAATTTTGAGTGAATTGTTCTGTTCTCAAGAAGCAAAGCATGTAACCATATTTACTGATGAATGAGATAACTCAACTAAAATATCGAGAAAGCCACTAATTGTGATACCTTGCAGCTTCTTGATTATCTTTAGACAGAATTTTCTAAAGGCATCTGCCCCCAGATGCTTTGGCAAATACATCAAGCTGAATGAGGTTAGGTAAATTTCCATTCAAGTAACACCGAGTCTGCTGCCTCAATTCTAAAGCAGATAGTATAATGCAAACGCAGGTCCTTCCTGCACAAAAATATCTCCAGCCACCAGGGCTTAAATAGTTCCACTATTATAGGTACTACTTTGAGAAGAGCCATGCTATTAAACTGAATACTCACATTTTATGGTTTGCATGTGCTCTTTGAGAAGAGCCTTGCCATTAAACTGAATACTCACATTTTATGGTTTGCATGTGCATTTCATGTTTATTAATCACTTACCCCTTATAATACCCCTATCAGACACTATGTTAAACTTCGCAACAGTTTCCTTTTAGTTGAGGAAGTGGCACTTAATGAACTATACGGGACGGATCTTAATTTCATTTACAGACCTTAAATCTCATGTCTATTAGTTGCAGACAGAGCAGTAACATATAAGCTCCCCATAATTCACTAGTTTTCCTTCCTTTAGTAATTGCAGTTGCTTGATGTCATTTGAGGAAATCTGTACCAAGCCAGGGAAATTTGGAAAAGAATTAAGAGGACTGCTATATGGGAGTATCACAGTTGGATCAGGGTGTATCATAGGTGGTAATTCATTCAACAAACATTTACTGATAGCCATGTGATGCAAGACACATGCTAGGTACCGAACCAGAGGCAGCATAAAAACCTTGGGGATCTTATGGGAGGGGACATAAAAGAAGGGGAAGATGCAGGAGGGACAAATCATGTCTATTTCACCAATTTTCATGTTGTTAGCCTGGATGTACCTTTGTGGGTTTCAGGATTAAAATGGTACCTCCAGGGCTGGGGAAAAAAAACTCTAGCTTCTCCCAAACTATTTAATTTGCTACCAGGAATAGTTTACTACCTAGAGGAATGTGAATTAATAACACTTGTCTAGATAGATGAATACATGATGATAAAATATTTTGCAATACAGTATAATAAAATGGTTTAGTAATACCAATTTGTATCTTCCATGTACCAAATATCTCAAAAGACATGAGACATTTTTTCTTCTATCAATACTACCTGCTTATTAAATGGATACAATATCATTTCCTCTTTTACTAAGGAAACCAAATGTCAAGGAAAATTAAGACATTAAGGTTACATCACTGGCCTTAAATAGGTGCTGAAATAAATACTTAGTTTCTTTTCCTAATGTCTATTTTGTTATACTCACTGTTGCCCCCAAATCACAATTTTTTTTGTTGCATGTATGGCATGATTTTTTTTGTTTAACAATCTGAAAAATGATGTCCTGTGTAAAATAAGTAGGGTCTTAAAATTGTATATTCCCCTGCCTCCAATCTTTTCTTTAAATTCTTCCTTTGGACAAAGGAAACAATAACTGTATTCACAGCAAGTAATTGTAGCTTTTATTATCTAGGAATCAAAAGCTAAGAATAGTAGATACATTTTTTAACCTCTGCGGGGGATTTGTTGCCAATCAATTAAGAAAATCCTCTGCTCCCCAGCGAATTTAGGTGCAAACAAAACTAGCACAGAAGCAAAACCAACACAAGAAGGAAGATCCTGTTTAAGCGGCATCTTATGTAGTGGTTTTCAGAACTGAGAGTTGTTAATGAGCACTTTAGATCAAGGAAAACCACAGCAGGAGTATTAGAGTCAGAAGCAGCACTTTTAACACAGCCCCCAGAATGGAGGAAAACATCATGAGATTGCTTTAAAAATTACTCTCAGGGATATTCATTAACACTGGCATGATTTCTCCGATGCAGAAAGGAAACATTAATAACCATCTTTCTTAAATAATCCTGACAGAGAACTAGATCCCTGGCTCTCTAGACAAGACAGGCATATATGCATAAATGCTTAAAGGCTGAAGAATAACACGATCACTGCAAACATGTCGAGTAACCAAAAGTACAATGATCATGCCGGGAATATCACTAAGGATCAGCATATGTCTCTATCGAGGTGATTAAAAATATCTTGAAAATATTGAACAGAAATAAGTTTCCCCATTGTACTCACAAAAATGAAGAAGCTTGGGAAACTGCTTTAAAAGCCCTAGTGAATCACACTAGATTTATCTACATGGGGACAAAAGGGAAGGAATTCAGAAAACAAACAAAACTCCAAAACAAATCCACTGCATTTATTTTTGGACATCTTCCTGTTTTTTCCATGTAAGTAGATTGTAGTCAGTGTCCATTTTTAGAAATGATTTGTATAGATTAGCACACTTCAATTGGAAATAATGTTTCTTTTCATCATCCTTTAAGTGAATTTAATTGATTAACTGTGTCGATACTAAGTTCTTTTGACAGTGAAGGGCCTGGCTCAGGTCTCAGTAGTGAAAGGAGGGGAGGATGGAAGACAATTGCCCTTCACTAAACTCCTAGAACATTCCAGCACTGTGTTCAGAAGTTTGCACAGTGCAAGGAAACGCAGGTACTTCCGGCTCGCCCACAGAGACAATTTACACATCTGTCTATTAACACATGGTAGGTAGTTACATTTAGAGGAAACATACTGACACATCTGTTTATCCTGTGTCTAAGTAAATCTCTTGGTAATTAGCATCTAAACCAGCTGAGAGGTAAGTGGACCAAAGGATTTCACCACAAAAACATCAACAGTTTCATACATATTGGGTGGTGTGGAGAAAAAAAGGCAAGCAAGTTGTGTTTATATTTAAATGGGAATGCATCTTACAATTTGTAATTGTTGTACCATTTCTTCTCGGTAGGCTAGTTCCCTTTTCATCTGATCCTGAAAATTATCTGGTAGGAGAGAGAAATAAGGAAACAGGTTACTTAAAGTGCAAAGCCTACTTTTTTATATATATCTAGTACATTTTTATATCTAGTAAAAATATTTTGGACAGTCCCATAGACAGCCCCACCCCCCAACTTAAGTCTTTTTTTTTTTTTAAAGTAAATAATACAGTTGTGTGAAGAGATGTTTTCAACACTCTATAATTTAATCAGAATAGACAGTAAATTGTGAGAGGGTAAGGTGTATGTCTTACATTTCACAGTAGGTCGTACTCCATCTAGTCTAATCCCTTATATATAATAATTAGGCAGAAATGTTCAGTGCAATCATGGTCTCTAACCTTTGCACACTGTGCAAGTCACAGGTGTTGAAAGCTTCAACACAGATGTTGAAGTCCGGCACAAATGAGAGGTGGACTTCAGATAGAGCTGATCATAGGAAATGCTCCCTTGTGCATGTAACACTTTCTGGGTAAGGAAGGCATGGGCCTGTGAACTATGCCTGCCTGTCTTTGCTGCCACTCATCTCACTCCTAAGAGAGTGATGAACATACTCTGGCCTGACTCTCCCAACCAGCAAACTCTGTCACCCTGGACCAGCCTTATTTTATGGTCCTCCTGTGGCCTGGTGCCTCTCTACAGACCTCATCCCAATCTGAGAAGGGAGGAACTTTGAGACATATTGTTGTGCAAAATATTTTTGCTAGTCTACCTATTGATCATTTTTATTGCATTTAAGAAAAAAAAAAAAAGACTTCCAAATGTATAGCATAATAATTGCATCTTCTTCATGTGATTTTTTAAAAAAGTATAGATTTGGTTACCTTTGGCTTTTTCTGCCTTGAAGGAGAAATTAACATGATTTCATATTGAATTTGTTGTTGATAGGGTAGTAGCTTGGGGAAACCAGAAACTTGATCAATATCTTTCCCTCTTTTGTTCCTTTCACCTCTACAGCCAACTGGTGTGTATATCCTATGTGTTCTACCTCCATCCTCTCCTCTCTTTGCCATTGTTACCTCCCAAATGTAGACACCTCTTTCCCGAATAGTTTTCTGACAGACCACCTGACCTCTAGTCCCTTTCTCTCCAAATCCCATTCATTCTCCTGCTTAAAAATCTCCGGTGGCTTCCCATTGCTTTCAAGATAATAAATTGTCTACCACTCATGAGACCCTGGGTGCTTAGAGATTAAAAGACTTTGTTCTATTTATTTTTTTACTTTTATCTTTTTATACTATTTGAATTCTTTCTCTAACCTCAAGCAAATAATTTACTTTTTAAGAAGACTGAATCCCTACTTTTACCTCTGAATTTGATGGAACGGAGTGAAGTATGTGGGGCAATGCAAGGACTGAGGGAGGAGACCTCATTCACTCAGGAGTTAAGGGGGAGGACCTGCTTGAGCAGATGTGTGGAGGACGGCCAGCATCCCACACAAAGACATGGAACGAGAAGAAGGGATCTGCGAGTGACTCAGCTGGCTGCAGTAGAGAGCACAGAGGAAATGCCCTGCACCCCGCCACTCACCAAACCACTCTCCAGTCCTCAAATAATATTGTACTTCCTGCTTCTGTGCCTTTGTCTCAGCTGTGGTCTTGCCCTTGTCAAGAGCAAGAGACACCTTCCTTTTCTTTAATGTTCCAATTCAAATGTTACCTCTTCTAGAAATCCTCTCCAATTCTTCTGCTCCTCCTGCTAAAATGAGACACCCTTCTTTTGTGCTCCTCCTCCAGCACCCTGTCCATACCTCTGTTAATGCATCCACAATACATACTATGATTGTTGTTATACATCTGCCTTTCAGCTAAACAGTGAGTTCTTAGAGGACAGGAAGGTAAGTTCTAGACACTTTTTACATTTGCAAGGCCCAGCACAGTTCTTGACACACAGCAGGGGCTAGATAATGAATGAGGGATGAAAACAGCACAGAAGTATCCACTGGCAGGTCTGGGTTTGGCCATGGACAGGAACTACCCCATCCTCGGGCCTTAGACCTTTATTTAAAGAAACAAGGGTGTGGAATGATGTGCTGTTTAGGGTCCTTCCTTGCTCTAGCATTTTAAGATTTCATGACAAGGCAAACTGATTTGGTTGGGTTCCAAGCACCCATCTGTCTTTCCTGTGCTGGAGAGAGGGGGTGGCTGAGTTCAATTTGCACTGATAACAATTAGGGGTGAGGCACTGTGCAAGGAGCTGACACCCACCTTCCACCCCAGGGTTCTCTGGAAGGGGGTCAAAGCCCACAGGCTGGGCACAGGGCAGCAGGGAAACCACCTTCCACAAATTGCTGGTTCCAGCACCGCTGGTCCTGTGCCCTGGCCTGCAGGCCTCCAAGGAGATCCGTGTCTCCAGACACCAGAGCGCAGCCCAAACCGGCTCCCTCTGTGAAGGAGCAAACTTTCCTCTGAGCCTCGACAGGTTTCTCTGTTCCTCTAGGAATCCCATGTGCCTCTGACCTGGGTGGTAAACTGCGATGATCTAGAAGTGAGGGGGCTGCCTGGAGCCAACCTGGCTGGAACACCTCCCTGGGATCCCAGAAAATTCTGATTTTGGAGGAGGAAATAGCTAAGAGCAGCCCGGAGTGCAAAGATGAAAACTAGTCTTCACTTAATTCCTGCTCATTGTTCTATGATAGTACACTTAATATAATTCCCTAAGTTAAAATGGAAAAAAAATGAAGCTATTAATGTATTAGAAAAAAACAGTGAGTATTTTTATAAGATTGGAGTAGGGAAAGGGATCAAAGGCAAAAAAAAAAATTGATAGATTTGATTAGACAGAAATTTGAAAGTTTGGTGTGATGATAAATTACAAACAAATGAAACTCCTCAAGCACAAAACACCATAGCCACCATTTAAAGGTAATTGATACAAACCAAAGAATATTTGCAACATATCAAAGAATTAATGTTTTAGCATATAAAAAATTCATACAAATCAATAAGAAAAATGAACAAATCAAAAGAAATATGGGGAGAGGATGGGAGTATAAATTAGTACAACCTCTCTGTGCAAAGATTTGGTTACAGGGATGCCATTGTGTGAAACTTGGACAAACATTAAGGTCCAACAGTATATTCATAGATTCCTGTGTAGTAGTGAAAAGAGGCAATTTTTTTTTTTTTTTTTTTTTTTTTTTGTGAGACAGAGTCTCACTCTGTTGCCTGGGCTAGAGTGCTGTGGCATCAGCTTAGCTCACAGCAACCTCAGACTCCTGGGCTCAAGCAATCCTTCTGCCTCAGCCTCCCAAGTAGCTGGGACTATAAGCATACACCACCATGCCTGGCTAATTTTTTCTATATATTTTCAGTTGTCTGGCTAATTTCTTTCTAGTTTTAGTAGAGACAGGGTCTTGTTCTTGTTCAGGCTGGTCTTGAACTCCTGAGCTCAAGCGATCCTCCCACCTCAGCCTCCCAGAGTGCTAGGATTACAGGTGTGAGCCACCATGCCCAGCCAAGAGACACATTTTAACTAAAAAAAAAAAAAAAAAGGCAGGTAAAAATGGTGTGCATAACATTTCATTTTGTTTTAAATGAAGGATTTAATATACATTCAAAAGTCTGGAACTCCAAAATGTTAACATTGGTTATCTCTAGGTAGCAAGCTTATGAGTGATTTTTGTTTTCTTCCCTTTTTATTTCTGTATATTTAAATTTTTCTCTGTCAAGCACGTATATAACTTTTGAGTTATAAAGATTGCTAGTTGGAAAACAAAAACCTAACATTTTTGCCATATTCTAAAAGCTGATGAAGATATAATTTAATTGGAGATGAAAAAAATCATTAAGCCAACTTCTCTAATGAGAATCACTTACAATCCAACTATTTTTGGAAGACAATAGTACAAAAGGAAGTAGCAAAGAAAAGCAATGAAGTGCAACATGCCAGCCAGCACAGTGGTAAGTTCTGGGCACTGCAAACACAGATGCAACTTGGAAATCCAAACGGTTTTCCAAACAGCAATAAAAAGTGTCCAGCCTACATTCCTGGACCATAAATGAGAAGAAAATCCAGATGGTATATATGTTTCATCTGGGAGATCCTACTAAGCAAGTGATAGGCTTTGGGGCTCATTTTGTTTACATTGTCTTAATTTTGTTATCACTGTTTCCAAACAACTATCAAGACTTTTGATCTGTATTCTTTTGGAATTCTCCCCTATCTCTTCTTCCAGAGGATGCTACAGAAAGAAAAAGGAAGAAAAGAAGGAAGGAAACCACTGAACATCAAATGAATACAGTAACAGCCACAGGTGGAAGCTGGAGACAACCATATTCAGGCAGATGAGATGTAGTTTGTTTTTAATAAGAAGAAATTTTAACAGTAATTTGGAAGAGTAATTCTTTTTTTAAATTTAGAAATTTATTCTGTTTAATCCACAAGCTTTATATAGCTTTAGTTTTTAAAAAAAAAACGAAAACAAAAACAGTGAAATCAAGACACTATTTCAAAGTCTGGGCCCTTCCAGCCTTCCAAATACAAGAGCTTGGAAGAGTCATTCTTTATAAGAACCTAAAATGATGACATTTTAGATGAAATCTAAACTTTTCCATAAAGCCCCATTCCTTAGTCCCTCCCTGTAATAATTGGCCTTGCCACTCAGTTCTCTCAAGTGCCAAGAATTTGTCACCATAACTGCAAATCGAAGGGCTCAGTTGATGAACCCTGGCTAATCTCCTTTATACAGCAGTCTTCAGTGATCCAATCTCATCCTTCATCGTCAGCTTTAATGTCTTCAGATATGACACCAACATTTCTATCCCCCATTTACTGAGAGTGTGTGATGCGCCCACAATATGCCAGGAGCTGCAGGCAGCAATGGAAGAACATTCTGAGTAGCTAGCTCTTTCCTGAACCTATTTATAACACGGTAAGGTAGAGGAGAGTAGCACAAGTGGAACAATCAGGGGAGGAGCCAACACAGAGCACCCTAGAAATAGACCCAGTAGGTCTTCAGGAGAGGGTGCCTACTGCAAGAAGGGGAAGGCTTCTTGGAGGTGGTGAAACCTGAGCTGTGTCCCCGATGAGGAGGAGGACCCGGCGGGGGGAGACATTCCGGACTAGAGGAACAGAGTATGCAGAGGTGGAAGGCGAAGGGACAGAGCAGTCAGCCAGGGAACTGGAGCTGAGCATGGGGAGAAGTGGATATAAGGGCGGAGAGGCAGGGTGAGCCAATTATAGAGAGTTTAGAAAGCTACTCAGGAGTTCACTTAGATACAACCTGAGAAGCAGCAGGGAATCATTACAGCTTCTCGATTGGAAGACTTGGTCCCAAAGGCAGAGTTTTAGAAAGAAGGGGCTGATAGCCACAGGCTGGGGTGGAGAAAGGAGGTTGAGGACACAGGGCACCCTGCTGGTGACGACCTTCTCTGTTCACTAACACTTTTAGCAAGTCCCAGGTTGAGGGGCTAGGCTCTGAGGTTCTACAGATGGCTCGTGGGAAGAAAGTAAAATGAACAAAAAGTACAGCACAAGGAGGAATGCTATCATAAAGGAAGGTAGAGGGTGTGCGAGGAGAAGAGAGGAAGAAGAGACAGATTTGCTAGGGACGGAGGACACAATGTGGTGGCAAAAATGACTTCTGGATTGACAGCTGCAAAACCGATCAGACCAGTCATTAGTGGGCGAGCTTGGAGTGGCAGCATTTGGGCTCACCTTTAAGCCTTCACTCCTGTGCAACCTAACGTGATCGTCATTGCAGAGCATGTTTGACCAGCCATTGCACTGTCATTTCACATGACTTTGATAATGGCGGAGCTCCTCTGCACCCCTTTTCCCAAACACCTGTTTTCTTAGCATACCCTCCCCACCTCTCTGCTCACGCCCTACCCGGTTCGTCAATTAAACATATATTGTCTGCTAGGGAAACAAGTTTCACTAACTGTTTCACCCTCTGTAACTACAGCTCAGTAAAGCTCTAGAAGTTCTGGTTTCTAATATTAGCTGGTTTACTATCAAGTCCCTGCAGGAAGGAAAGCATCGAACTTTAAAACAGTATAGAGTAGCAACAACTCACATTTGTTGGTGATTACTACACATCCGCCATCATGCTACGCACTTCATACCTTTTGCTCATTTAATCCTCCCAGCAACCCCAGGAGGTAGGTAGTAGTATCATTTTTTTTTTTTTTTTTTTTTTACTGTTTTATTGTTGAAAAAGAGGTTTGGGATGGTGCCCAAGATGACTCAGCTAGTGAGCAGGGGAATCAGAGTCCAAACTTAGAGATCTCTTGATTATCCCCCAGGCTTCTCTGCCTGCTCTCTAATGGCCAACACCTGCCTTGCCACCTCCCTGGGGCTCCCCATCACCGCCATGCAGAGGAAGTATTCATGGGGAGCTGTTCTGGAAACCTCTGTCCCAGCTAGTGTACAGACTTACTTGTTTCCCCTCCTCCTTCTCCCAAACTCTGCTCCCCAAGTACAGAGACTTGTTTCTTCCTCCTGCTCCTCCATCCTCCTTCCTCCCCCATCTCCCCTACTCTTTCCTTTCCCTCTTTCTCTGCCTTTTCTTCCTTCTTTTCCTCTTCCTTCTTCTTCTTCCTTCCCCTCCTCCCTCTTATCTTTTACCTTTAGCCTCTCCATGCCCAGGATTCATTCTGATGGTCCCCATTAACCCTCAGAACCACAACCCAAAGCCCAATATTTGGACCCAATTTTATTTTATTTTATTTTGAGACACAGTCTTGTTCTGTTGCCCAGGCTAAAGTGCTGTGGTGTCAGCCTAGCTCACAGCAACCTCAAACTCCTGGGCTCAAGCAATCCTTCTGCCTCCGCCTCCCAAGTAGCTGGGACTACAGGCATGCGCCACCATGCCTGGTTAATTTTTTCTATGTATTTTTAGTTGGCCAATTAATTTATTTTTATTTTTAGTAGAGATGGGGTCTCCCTCTTGCTCAGGCTGGTCTTGAACTCCTGATCTCAAGCGATCCTCCCACCTCGGCCTCCCAGAGTGCTAGGATTACAGGCATGAGCCACTCTGCCCGGCCTGGACTCAATTTTAGAAATGCTTTTCTAGAGCTCAATACCCTCTCTTTTCCCTCCTTTTGCTTCATAATCACCATCACAAGTGCAGCTGACATTTACTGAGCACTTATTTGGTGCTCAGTAGGTGCGCAGCACGTCACATGGACCCTGCCACTTAGTCCCCTCATCCTCCAATGAGACAGGAATCATTTGCCCCATTTTATAGTTTCCAAGATCATACAACCAGCAAAATAGTAGAGCCCAAAAGTGAACTCGAGTCTGGTAGATTTTTGAGCCTGCATTCTTAAAAGTCACATGATACAGCTCCTAGCCTGGGTCCCCAGTGGCCTAAAGGAACTGAATTTTAGGTGTTGTGATTGTGAGTGCCTCTGTACTGCCCAGTAAAAAGCTTTGCAAAACTCTCATGAGAATTATCTATGCTTCCTTCCGACAGCTTTCCAAAATTCAGTTTTCCTCTTTTTGTCTGAGTGAATCTAAATCTGTCTGCTAGCCTCACAGCCCTTCACATTTAGTTAACAAGCACATAATATGTATTTGCTATTTTCATCCGTGTGAAATTGACTGCCTCTTTGTGGTGTGTCTAAACCACGCATTATTCAAACTTGGGCACACACATGCCACTTCCTTGGTCAGTGGAGTACGTTACAGAAAAAAGAGGAAATTTTTTTATTGCTGTTTAACTAAAGTGTTTCATATATGTGGCAATCACAGAGGATGCATATTAATTTTGATAAAAATGATGAATGATAGGTCTGAATCGAAACTGGCCAGTTGCACTGTAACGTTCTAATGTTTCTGTTTAACGGAAACATGTTGTACGATAGAGCAGTTAATAAGGAAAATATAAATTACTGTGAATTACTTAATTCCTTAAGATGATTATTAATTAGCTTTTATTAATGGGATCAATTATGGCTTCATAGGGAGTTACGAGGGAGCATTAGGGATTCAATGGGACTTGGACCCACTCTGCTGGATCTAAAAAGCAGGGATTTGCAAACTCAACAATTAGGTAAACATCAGCTTATGGAGAAACGAATCATTCAATGTCTGCTCCTTGCTGCAAGGAACTGTGTAGCTTTTCTTAAGATACAGTTTTAGAAGTTGGAGAATCCTGGGTCCTTTGGAAGCACTTCTTTCTAATGATTTTAAAGATATTTTGATAATATGTTTTTCCTTTTCACAAAACTACAAATATTATGATGCTCCTAAATACACTATCAAAAGCTATTGGCTGGTTGGGCACGGTGGCTCATGCCTGCAATCCTAGCACTCTGGGAAGCTGAGCCAGGTGGATTGCTTGAGGCCAGGAGTTCGATATCAGCCTGAGCAAGAGTGAGACTCCGTCTCTACTAAAAATAGAAAACATCAGCCAGGCATAGTGGCACGTGCTACTCAACATCGTCTCAGCTACTCAGGAGGCTGAGGCAGAATTACTTTAGCCTAGGAATTTGAGGTTGCAGTGAGCTGTAATAATGCTACTGCCTCTGGCTGGGGTGATGGAGCCAGAGCGAGACTCTGTCTCCAAAAAAAAAAAAAAAAAAGCTATTGGCCATTTTCCTTTTCTCAATCCTATTCTAAGACCCAGTAGGCATCTCTGAATTCAGAATACCTGAAGCTCCATGAGCTCCAAACCCCTCTTTAGGTATGGGGGATCACAGACGTGGCAGACCCTACTGGCCCTGTGGCCAGAGCTCTCTTCCATCACAGAGTACCTCTTCATTGTGACCCCCACTAAGCTTTCTGCTGAAACTCAGTTTGGCGTTCATGATACAGGACACTGGCACTATTCAAAACCGCTCCCCAAGTATATCGTTCAGTTGTGCTGATGATTATTACATTTGGAAGCTCTGGGGAGTGCAGACCTTCGGGCTGACATTGAAATTATCACAATTACTGAAGAACCTTCCAGATGCTGGTTTGGCTCTAGCATAGGAATTGCCAACTTGAGTTTTGTGATGCCTGAATTAATAACAGGGGGCATGCTGACACTCTTAAAAAAGTGTCTCAGAAGAAAATTAATTTTCAATGTATGTAATTAGGAAAATAAGTTTGCATACTATTTGCTTTTCCCCTTCCTTTCTCTGGAGAGGGGAATGTGACTAAATGAAACTCCAAAAAGCTTGAAAAACACTTCGGTGATGTGTTTTTCCAAATATGATCCAGACTAGGGCAGGTAAATTTTAGAAATCTGGACACCTGCCATAAAATCTTTGGAAATTCCAAGCCTTTTAGTGTAGAACCAATAGTTTTTAGGCTATAATAGCTCCTTCCCCCAAATTTAAAATGGAATTTTAACATTAAATATGAATGGAAAATCTAAAACTATTAAAATTATACCAATTTGATTTAATGAAATAGATTTGTGTACATTGAATTGTTAAAGTTTACATTTTCATATTTATACATAGCTCAAGCACCAGGAAGTTATTCAGAAATTCCTTTTTTTTTGTTTTCCCTACCTTAGAGAATATAAATACCTGAGTAGTTCTTTTGATTTAAAATTTATAATCTAAATTTTATCTAAATATATTTAGATATTGAATTACATATTTACAGAAATATTTTAAGATACACACAACACACATGTACAAATGTCTATCAATAAATATATACCAAAAGGTTCTTGTAAGACATTTCATCTGTGAGTTGATTCAAAGCATAAATAAGAGAAAATTAAATTTATGAATATTTAGACAGACTAGGAAGACTGTTGCTTTGCACTATTACTTAATATTTAGAATCACATTCTTTAAGCCTAATAATAGAAATGTCTTCAAAAAAAATTATCACAAATGCAATGAAATAAAAAAGATTTCTTACTGAATACTGGGAAAGATGTGTTTCCTTTTAACACTTGAAATTCTTGTTCTAGTCGTCTTCGTAAATCTATTTGTTCAAATAAAACCTTCTGAAGTTCTTCTAATAAAGAAAAAAAGAAGAGTCATTTTACTAATCTTTATAAATAACTCTCCAGAGAACTGTTACATATGGCAATTTATTATTATAAGACAAAATATTTTACCAGTTTAAAAAGTGTTGCATAGACATAGGATAGATTTTGTGCAGAAATCCATGAATATAAATCAATGTAATATATTATTTTAAAGTATTATATTACAGTGTCATGTATTGATTGATATGTATGCATTAATCTCAATTATATCCACCCAATGGTCCATATATTATTCATATGTTGCTTGTCAAGCTTAAAATATGGTGTAGAACAAAAATATCCTCCTATTATCTCCAGTTTTTGAAAGCTAAGAGAAGTTCTACAGAATTACAACTTTTCTTTACCTTTCCCCATATTTTCCACATCCTTTTTGAGTGAATGAGGTGAATTGGTTTCTTGTGTGTGTTCACCTTTAAAAAAAGAAGAAAAAATATTATTAGTTTTGTATAGACTATTTTCTGTTTTTGTTTTTTTTTTCTTGTCATTTTCTTTTAATATCTGCAAAGGAGCTTATTTACTATGACCTGAACTTAGAAGTCCTCAGAACCAAATGTTCTCTTCATTTGCTCGCGCACAATTCCCCTGAACCACGCAGGAGAGCTGTGGAAAATGAGGACAGAGCCTGCCCGGCCTTCGATGGCAGCTCGGTGAAAGCAGATTCCTGAAAAGTTATCCCCCGCCGTGGGGCCCTCATTACTATCCATCCTTCGCAACGGAGATAATCGCTAGAATGGGCAAAAGAGGAAGCTGGAAGTCTAGATTTCTGGTAAAAATCTGATCAGAGTCCCATGACTCCTTGAAGCGAGGAAGCCTGGCTGCAACGGGAAGCAAGCCCCCCAAGACTGCAGAAGCAGGGGGCTCCCAGCCTTCTTGGGCCACCAAGATCTGGGACAGTGAAAAAGAAGTGCGTGTAGGGGTTGGTGATGGGGGCTTTGAGTTGTCCCTTCCTAGAGAATTTATAAGCCTCGAGGGGTTTCTTAACAAATGTAGTTTGTTTAAAATGAAAAAAATCAACCTAAAACAGAGATGCGAAATAAATTAGCCTATGTGAGTTTGTAAATATTTACTTGCTTGCTGATAGTCTCTTAACTACTCATCTCCGACCAGTAACAATTACATTGTGAATAAAGGTTAAATTGTTATTCTCACCTATTTAGCTTATGCGCTAATTAGAATGATGGCAAACTAAGAAAATGTGTTTATCTACAGTCATAAATTGAGTCTACATAAGCCAGAAAAACTAAATAAGCCGAACAAATCCAGTCATTTAGTTAATCAGAAATTTTTTTTTTTCAACTTTCAACCTGCTATTCACAATACTCACACAATTCAGTTAAGCTTTCTGTTTCTGTCTGAAGAGATACGGCAGCAAGGACAAAGGGACTCCTGGGGTTTTATGGATTCCCCTCCCCCACTCCCAGGAGTGACTGATCCCTCTTCTGTGGCCCCTTTGCAGGGTCTTGGGCATGGCGCTGTTTGCTTACCCCCTTCCTCACAAAGTAGACTGAGTGCTACTTGGAGGCAGGGGCTGTATCTTTTCTGTATGGCCAGTGAGTGCCTAGCACAGTGCTGGACACAAAGTAAGCACTCAAGAAGTTGTCTTTAGTTGTTTCTGAAAGGGACCCCAGGAGGTTGTAATTCTAAATTACAGCATGGGCCAGAATTCATCATTTCAATTATCTCCTTACTACTTTATTTCCCTTAGAAAGAAATAGATTGTAATGGCCCTGGGCACTTGTAGGAATACTGGGAGATTTCATTGTCAAGGTAAAAATGTCTGCAAAGAAGGAAACAGAATCTTTCCCCAAAGCAACAGCTAATAGTATCATGGACAGAAAAGAAAATCTTCAACGTGACATTATAAATGGTGATTCTGCATTTCACCTGATGACTGTCAGGACTGTGCATTACTGGACTGGGATTCAGTCCAGTAATGTGTGCGTGTGTGTGTCTAAATACATACATGTAAAGATACATATATGCAAATATTCCAGGACACATGCATAGTTAGGGGAAAGAGTCTGATAATATCCTTAGCATCCTCAAGTTCCTTAATAGCAGGCATTTTCTATAATATCTAGATCATATCCACGTAACCTCATTTCCACTTTCATTTTGGATGTGATCTCTCTTTAAACGCTCAGATGTACCCTTGAACCTCAACACCTTGGCTTTCTTCTTCATATAATAAGAAAATAATGAGGAAATACCTGTGAAACTTTTTAAATATAGACCTCAATGTATCATTATTCCTAGACAATACTATTATCTAAAAGAAGAGAAACATGAAGGTTGATAACAAATCATTAATATATAAACCAAGAATAATGGTCTTTTGAAGTGAAGATAACTGCATAGTATATGCAATTTTGCCTGTGTTTACTCTAGTCTCAGTTAACCAGTTAAATGTATGGAAGGTTCATGCTCACCTACAACGTTGAATCTGAACAAGGGAAGAAACAAACATGCACATATCTCTGCATTATCTACTGGGCATAATGAAATGGTGTCATTCTACAACTTTCTCAAGCGCTCAAAACATCATTTAAATAAGATCTTTATTCCTGAATAGGCAATTCTAGAAACTGTGTTCTTATCACATTATAGACTATATTCTTTTTGATTTATTAGTATATTTTTGTGGACTATTCATCTTACATCATGTTTCAGTTAGATAACTAAATTTAAAAATTAAAATAGGATATGTCAAAATGCATTTCTTTTCTACTTCTACTTCCATACCACATAAAGCTACTACATGGGTATGGGTATGAAATCACTAAACAAATAGCTTTACATGAGTATGAAACCATTAAACAAGTAGCTAGTAAATGTAAATGATATTAACCACGGCAAATCTGACATTAATAATAAGCTTTTCTCTTCATCAGCTCTGTGGAGGTTTTATTAACATTTTGCATCAGTGTCTATTTCAAACAGCTATTTTACTGCAACTTCTGGGGACCATTTGCCAATTTTAAGCTTAGAAGATTCAAAGGTCTCACTTACAAAGGGCTTTTTAAGATGGCTAAATGTTAGGTAGATAAGGAGCACAGAAGCTTCAGCTGCCTTTTGTGTATATTTTACTGGACTGTTGCCTTTTGTATATTACTAATCTGTGAAAACCAGATTGTTAATGGTGGTTAAAAATGACCTCTGGGAGCCTGGATATGTTTGTTCACTATTACTGCTAATGTTTTCCATCTGGTTAAAAAAAAAAAGGCAGTCTAATACTAGATTAAATAAATGTGATTTAATTGACAGGGAGCTTCCAATTTTTATGAAGATTTTATCAGGTTAGATGCATTTTACTTTTTCAAAATTAATGAATGGGTTTCAGAGAAATTAAAAAATTAAAATGCTTACTTTCCTTTCCTCTGTATTTCCTCATCCCTTTTTAGCAAAATAGGGAAGGCTTCGCGAATTTGTGTGTCATCTTTGTGCAGAGGCCATGCTAATCTTACTAGTATTGTTCCGATTTTGGTATATGTGCTGCTGAAATGAGCACTATATTCCCCTTTTAAAAAAATATTACAAAAAGCATAGAGATGTTAATTGTGTGGAGTTATATTAGAGAAAATTATACATAGAAGGAGCAACTTTCTCAGAGGCCTGGCCTCAAACATGTCTAAGTCAGATTGTAGAAGAAAACAGTGAGGTGGTTTGAAGCTGGAGAGTAATGAGTAATTAGGGCAAAAATGCACGTACTCCCATCATATACTGAAATAGAAAAAATGCATCCCATGGATGGATGTGATTGAAAGTTGCTCCTGGGGGCGGGGTGTCTGCACCAGCACTCCAGAAGAGCACGTTTGTGGGATCAGTTCATTGTGACCTGTGTGGTTTCCAAGAATCCTCCTTGCCCAAAAGGGCAGAGGCCACACAGGGTCATGTCAGGGAAGCTACACTGCTTCTGTGTGCAGCTGGAGGCCAGAGAACCTGGGACCACAGAAGTCCTGCTTTCCAGCTCCCTCCAGGGTCCCCCAACATCAGGTGGTCCCGTGTTCTAGGTGAATGTTCCACCCTACCCTTGGTTCTGCCCTCCCATAGTCATGAGAGAACTAGGTCCAGGAGAGAGGAGCATGAGAATGTGCCATGCTGAAGCAGACATGAGCAGTTCATGGCAAATGAGGAGAAGGTGGGAATATACAAGGAAAAAAAAAACAAAATGAAAAACAACCAATAGATTCAAAGCACTACCTTTCAAGGCACAAGAATAATTACTTTCTCTTGAATATCATGGCACACTCTGCTCAAGAACTTACAGTGGCTCTCCCTGTGATCTCCATCAAAGAATTCACTTTAAATTCCTCCCCCAAAGCCCCCAGTTTCGCCCATATCCTTGTCCCACCTGCTGAGCCAACCTGTATTACCCTATTACCAAACAGGAACCCTTTATTCTAGACTTTATTTCTCACATCTGCTGCCTGGCTCTGCCTCATACTGTTTCTCTGGCCTAAGGAAGCCTCCCTTCTCTTCCCTGTCCATTTGAAATCAGAATGCCACCAAGTCCCTACTTGTTATGGACTGAATGTTTGTGTCCTCTCCAAAATTTGTATGTTGAAATCCTAACTCCCAAGGTGATGGTATTAGGAATGGGATTAGTGCCCTTATAAAAGAGACCCTAGAGAGCCCTCTTGCCCCTTTTTCACCAAATAAGAACACAGCACCAGACCCTGAATCTGCCAGTGCCTTGATCTTGGACTTCACAGCTTCCAGAACCATGAGAAACCAATATTGTTTTTTTTTTTTTTTAATTTTTTTTTTTTTTTGGCATATTATGGGGGTACAGATTTTAAGGTTTCAATAAATGCCCATTTCCCCCCCCCCCAAGAAACCAATATTGTTTAAGCCATTCAGTCCATGGTATTTTTGTTATAGCAGCATGACCAGACTAAGACATTTCTCTTCCCTAAGCCTTTCCCAACTTTTGCAAATCCTACTTATCCATCCCTTCCTGGGCTGAAGTGCTTAGAGTTTATCATCTTTACGCTGCCCTTCTGTAGCCAGGATTCTAGTGTTTACCTATATGTTAGTTTGGTCTTCCCCAGCTAGAAAATATATTTTCTGAGGGCAGGGAGATCCTGCCCTATGGGTAACCCCCATCACCTCTACCTTAGAAAGGGGCACAATACACATTCCACAAATACTTATTACACTTAATTTAATTCATTATGGCCTATGAAAGACATACCCACTAATGCTATTATAAATTCTCAATTGTCATGAAGAGTTTTTTTTTGTTTTTGTTTTTTGGAGACAGTTTGCTGGAGCTCTGCTAAAATAGAGTGCAGTGGCATCATCACAGCTCACAGCAACCTCAATCTCCTGTGCTCAAGCAATCCTTCTGCCTCAGCCTCCCAAATAGCTGGGACTATAGGGAAGTGCCACCATGGCAGGCTAATTTTTT